GTTTATCAGGGTGAAAAGTGACTTGTTTGTGCCAGAAGGCCACACTGGAGGACTCCATTAGGCATGCCTAGTAAGACTAGAGGTTTCAAACTGAAGTTTTTAAAAATAAATTTTAGAATGGAGTTGCTTAGGCTCAGGCCTAAGGCCATCCTCACAGTGGTAGAGCTCTTGCCTGGCATGCGTGGGGCACTGGGTTCAATCCTCAGCACCACATAAATAAATAAAATAAAAGTATTGTTGTGTCCATCTACAACTAAAAAATAAAATTTTTAATTACTAAAGAGAAAATGCAACTCAAGTAACTAAGACTTCTCTTTACTAGCTGTAGAAAAAATAAAAACATAGACATCAATATCAAGCAAGCAAACAACAACAACAAAATACAGATAATACCTATCTTGGCTGGGGAGGTGGGAAGGGGCCAGGCTCATACACTACTGTCAGGAAATGTAAAAGTAAACAGCCTTCTGAAAAAGGCAACATGTATTACAATTAAAAATATGTAATACACTCCAACAAGAATCTTTCTCACAGAAATAAATCCAACACACATTAAGGACATATGTTCAGGGGAATCTTTATTGTAACACTGCTGTAGCAACAAAAAGAAAATAGAAAAAAAAACTAAAGCAGAAATGAAAATGAAGTAACAATCAATAGGAAACTAAGTAAATTCTTATCTACCAACAAAAGTTTGAAAAAATAATAAATGAATACATTTTAATATGAAAATATCATCAATATTATCACTAGCTCCCCTGAAGGTAAACAGATGACAGTTGCCCTCTCCTTATTAGGAGACGGGATATGTTCCATATGCTCCAAGACCCCCAGTGGATAAAACCCCATGAAACCCCATGATCCTCCTTTCAGGGGATCCCCTTGCTCAAGTTCATATAAGATCAGTGCTCTGACTGAACACATTGCCTTTAATCACGTTTCCCATTCATGTCTTCCATCACAAATCTAATGCCTTTTCCACCTTAATTAAGCACTTAACACACTCTGTGGCTGATATTTTGCAGATTGAGATGCAAAAGTAAAACTAGCAAGAATTTTGCTTCTTCAAAAGTTCAGTAGGGGCTGGGGTTGTGGCTCCGTGGTAAAGCGCTTGCCTGGCAAGTGTGGGGCACTGGGTTCAATCCTCAACACCACATAAATGTAAAATAAAGATATTGTGTCCACTTAAAACTAAAAAATAAATATTAAAAAAAAAGTTCAGGAGGGGCTGGGGTTATGGCTCAGTGGTAAAGCGCTTGCCTGGCAACTGTGAAGCACTGGGTTCAATCCTCAACACCACGTAAAAATAAATAAATAAAGCAAAGGTATTGTGTCCAACAACAACAACAAAAAATTTATAAAAAAAAAATTTCAGAGGATTCCATCTTACTATGAATGTTAGCAACCTAAGCATTGGATCTTGCTCCTTTTGTTTCTTAGTAAGTTGAGAACTTCCATTTTCATTTAAATGAAGAACTTTGTGGCCATTATTAAGCAAGGATTACTTACATATAACTTTTACAATGTCACACTCCTCTGTTAATCCAATAACTGAGGTGATAGTAAGTGACTAATGGGATGGGTAGTCCATGCGGTATACATGTCATATGGATAATTCACATTCCCTGGGAACAAGACAACATGAAATTTCATCACACTATTCAGAATGGTACACAATTTGAAACATTATTTCTAGAATTTTTCATGTAATAATTTCAGACCACATTTGCCCACAGATAAATGAAAAACAGAAAGTGAAACCACAGACAAGAGGGGATTAATCTGTCTCATAATATACTGGTTTATATATAAATAGATGCATACACAAAACATAATGATGTGCTAGATGGGAAACGAAACTGAAAGGATATACTAAAATTTTAAGATTCCACATCTCCTGAACCAGCAGTCCAACTTCCAAAAATTTATCCTGCTAATACAATGGCATGAAAATACAGACTTGAAAAACAAAGATGTGGTTCTATGTCACTGACCTGAAAAGTAGCAGGTTTGAAGTAAGTATAAAAATCAAACTGAAGATGGCTTTTCTGTACATTTGTAATATTTCATAATAAAAGAACTGAAAAACCAGCCTCTGCCTCAGAGCAAAGCCTGTCCAAAGAAGGGGGCGTGACCCTTGTCCTTGGAAAGATCCACAGAGCACTCTTAGGCACATACCCACCCCGCTGAGTTATCTACAAATAACAGGAGAGATCTGCCTGTGGCAGGTAGCCTTGACTCAGTCAGGCTAGGTGGGGGACCCATAGCAACCCCCAGCAGCCACCAATCAGCATGAAACAGGGAAAATACCTGGGATGCCAGATGACCCTCCCAGTAGATTATGGTGGTTGATAACATGTTGGGAAACCATGTAGTTCAGCAGTACTCCCCTCGTGGCTTAAACCAATCAATTCAAAGGAATCCCCCTCTTGTACTTACCAATCACCCCTACCCAACTTGTTCCCACCAGTGAATGTACTAATCATGTTTTAGAGTTGTTTTATGGTTTTCCCGCAGTGTGTGATGATTTCCTAAGAGATGCTATGATGTATGTGAAGTCCCTGCTTTCCCCCAAAGAGTGTATAAAACCGCTGCAAACCCTGGGCTGGGGCCTCTCAGCGTCACCAGTTGCTGTGTGCGTGCGGAGGACGGAGCTAGTTCGCAATAAACACCTCTTTGCTGCTTACATCAATCTTGGGTCTCTGGTGGTCTTTTGGGGGTCCCGAATTCGGACATAACATTTGGTGCATGTGTGCATGCATACGTGTGCGCATATGTCTGAGACAGGGTCTTGCTATTTTGCCCAGGCTGATCTGAAATTCAAGATTCTCGTGCCTCAGACTCCTGAGTCACTGGGACTACAGCTGGGCACCACTGCACCTGGATTCCTTTTATTTCCTAGAAGAAAAAATGCTGACCAAAAGTCAGGCACAGTGGTGCATACCTGTAATCCCAGAAACTTGGGAGGCTGAGGTAGAAGGTTACAATTTGGAGACCAGCCTAAGCAATTTAGTGAGACTCTGACTCAAAATAAAAAATAAAAAGAACTAAGTCATCTATTGGTCTCTGGTGGTCTTTAGGGGGTCCCAAATTCGAGCATAACGGAACAAAATGGTAGGGGGACATGAGATGCTTTGCCTTTTCCTGAATAATAATCTCAAAGTCTGGATAGTTAAGCCCTACCCACCTCCATCTCACCTTTTCCACCTTAGCCAGTTATTTGCCCTCACAGCTCATGTATCTTTCTATAAAAAATCCAATGGCTTCATTTCTTCTGTTTTCCTTTCCTGATATAAAAACAATATTTACACCATATATTTAATTTTTAAAAGTTATCTTTCATCTCATTAGTATAGTTCGTTTTTGTCTATTCCTGTGTTAGAAATCTCTTGGTATAAAGCATTAAGACTCACTGTGTGGGGCTGGGGATGTGGCTCAAGCGGTAGCGCGTTCGCCTGGCATGCGTGCGGCCCGGGTTCCATCCTCAGCACCACATACAAAACAAAGATGTTGTGTCCGCCGATGATTAAAGAATAAATATTAAAAAGTTCTCTCTCCTTCTCTCTTTAAAAAAAAAAAAGACTCAGTGTGTTATTCCAGTTTTTCTGAACTAAAATCCCTTTTTAATTTTAAAGAAGGAATACCCTTCTTTATTTAAAGAATATACTTGTATCTTGGTACAGTTACAAATCCAGGTGATCAAGTTCCAAAGGACAAAACAAATTTGTGTTAGAATCTCAAAATTCTTTTATTATTTTGTATGTAAGTAAAGAGACAGATGAAAATAACAGATCACAGCACCATGTTTACCTTCTTTCCCAATTATTCTCTCTTGAAAAATACAGAATACTTCACTATTATTCAGTGGATCACTATGGTCCACTATCTGCCTTTGTATGGCCTGGAAACTAAAAATCATTTTTATATTTTTAAGGAGTGAAAAAGAAAATGTCTTGTGACACATGAAAATTATATGAAATTCAAATTTCAGCATCTACAAAGTTTTATTGAAACACAGCCAAGCTCATTCATTTCATCACATTATATTTTATTCATATTATCTAATGATGTTTTTACATTATAAAGACAGTTGAGTATGGGATGAAAGGACAAAAAGACATTCTCTTTATAGGAAAAATTTGCCAACCTCTGTTCTATATCATACTACATAATCTTCATAATTTTTTTTAATTTTACCAAAACATTCTCCCCTTTTTCCTTCCATATTCAGTATAAAATTCCTTTAATAATCTGTCTCCAATCAAGCACATTCTTTATAGTCTTTAGGAATGCACAACCTCTGGTAATTTCCTTAAACATTCCTGGTCCCCCATGAACAGGAAGCCAGAAAGAAGGGCTTACAAATTTAAATGTTATAAATTAACATATCAAAACCAGAACTCAAATCTCAGCAGCCTCACAATCCCTCCAAGTCAAACCTAAGTCAAGACTGACTGCCCAATTAATGTCTTTCAAACTACCTTACCTATGAATTCAGGTGTTTATGTACTGCTGTTATAATCCCTAGTAGCCAAACTAGCAACGCAGAAAAAAAGTTAATACATATATTTTTCTCGAGTTTAATCTTCAAGTTGTTAGCTACCAGAGACAGACACAGAGAAGCTAAGGGAGAGCAAGAAGAAGAAAAGGTCAGAAAAAAATAGGCCTACTGTAATTAGTTAGCATGTGTGATGCTAAAATCTTTACACTTTGGAAATGTGATGATGTTTTCTGGAATAATAGTTTCTGACAGGAGGTTAAATACAACACGGTGTTTGAAAGCAGAATCACAAAACTTACACAGGAACAAATAGAACCACTTTTTCCCTAAACACTAACATTTGCTCAAACATTCTGCTTGCTGCTATGGAAGGCAGAAGAGGCAAACTACCTTTGCTACCAGCATTGTCACACCCCTCCCAGAATTAACTCCTCCCCAACTCCACCTACCTCAACCAGCACACTTCCCCTTGCATCACTTCTTCCAAAATCAGATCTTCGAAGATCCAGCCGCGGGAGAGCAAAGCAGAGAAACCATGATGCAAAAGTCTTGTGTCTCCCTCGCAAGTATCGTCTGCTATTATGGAAGAACTTAGCCCTAAAATTGGAAAGAATGGGCCTTGGCGCTCACCCGGTTAAGTTTTACTGAGCGCCTGGGGCGGTTGGACACCGAGCGAGAAGCTAAGGATATAAAGGTGAGCAGCAGAGTCGCGATATCCGCTCTAGTAGCTTCCATCCCAAAAGAGGCAGTCAATTTCGATAAAGCTCGCCAAGAAGGGGCAACAAGGGGCATCGGAAGCCTGCCATGGGAAGAGCCTACCTGCTCCTTAAACATTAAAAGGCTAAATCTCAACTAGTCGGAAGTGACGTGCCAGCTGAGACCGCAGGTCCGCCACGCAATTGGCCACCGCCTTAAATAACCATCCTTTCCCCAGACTAACCCGAAGAGAGGAAAAGTGTGGCCGAAAGCCCACAATCTGGGCCTCGACGACTTCCAGCCTCACCAGGATCAGCATCGCTTGGCCAGAGTCCAGGCCCGCAACCTGGACAGAACAGCTCCGCCAACCTGGGCGGTACAGCGCCCTGCGAGCAATGGGCTTCAGCTTTCCATCACGCGCATGCGCCGTCCTCTATCTCCGGAGGAGTCCTCAGGTCATCTGGACGCCGGCATTTCAGCTACCTGCAGCTCCGGGTACCTTCTCACCCTTGACGACTCCTGCTGGTCCTCAACTCCGGCCCTGCTCCTTCCTCTTCCGCAGGCACTGCTAGGCCCTGGCGCGTTAGCCCGCCGATACCCCGGCTTCCACTGACACGAGTCTCCGCGCAGCGCCGCTTCCGCTTCCGGCGAGTATTGTGTGTCGCGCCGCGGGGCGGGGGCGAGGGGAGGAGGAAGGAGGGAGGCAGCTCTCCGGCGGCTCCGCGCCCCGTACTCCCGGACCCGAAGCCGGGAAGGTAGGTGCTGTCCCGTTGCCGCGCTTAGGCCGGGTGCCTGCCCACACCGGCCGGCTCCGCACGCCGCGTCCCAGCGCCCGGCAACTGCGTCACCGGCCCCCCGCACGTAACCACAGCTGCCTCCGCCCGCCTAGGGCCCGGGCGGACGTTTTGCCGCCCCGGCGACGTCAGCGCGTCCGGCGTTGCTTGGCTACCCCGCTGTTCCCCCGTCCCGTTGCCGCTAGTCTCCCCGGGTGAAACTGACGCCGTCACCGCGGGTCTCGGCTGCGTCAGAGCGGCTGGCATCCCACCTTCACGTCACACCTCTTTCTCACCTGGACACGCATCCTTCCCTCCCCGACAACCACGACGTTTCCTCTTTCACCTCTCCAATTTCCCCGCCCCAGATATGGCCGGAGACCACGGAGATGGGGGTGGGACAGAGTTGTGGACCACCCTCATGAGAGGGTCACAAGGTGGAACCTGAACAGTAATAGAAACAAAATGAGGACGTCCCTGAAGTTTGTCCTTCTCCTAAGACATGAGGAATAGGAAAGACCAACCCAGAGGCACGCAGGGCCTACCACTCGCTGTCCTCTCCACTCTATTCCCCCAGTTCCAAGTCGTCTATTCTTCCCTAATGCATTCCTTATTTCTCTTTCCCACCACTTTGCCAGTCTGGATCCATCTTGGTCTCTAAATGTGCATACAATCAACTCATCCAGGTCAGGAGGCCACCTAATGTCAAGAAGACTGGGGAAGGAGCAGACTAGTCAAAGTTGGATTCTAATGAGTGGAGAAAAATCATCCAGCCGAACTTCTCTCTTGATATTGAGGGAAGAAATTATGGCCCAAATAATTTACCAGCTCCAACTCCAAATTAAACACTTCCCACATCATTATACAGAAACAATAATTGTTAATCCAACTCATTACGTAGTCACTTCTCTGTGCATAAACCTACCAAATTTCCTTCCTTTGGTGGGTCTCTTGGGTGTGGTGTGGAGGGCAGAGGGGTTACAGGACTAGAGAAATCAGCTTACTCCATGTATAAAAGTGTTGATGTTTTAGAGATGGAGTGGGGGACTAGTTTTCTGTTTTATAAATCATCCTGATGCATTTCCAACTGAGACTTCACCTGAAGGAGATTTGATTGTCTCCTTACTTTTCTTCTTTTAATTCCAACGCTCCAAAGGCTATTAGTTGCAGATACAGTATGTCTAAGGAATTAGTTATCAGTAGCTATTTTGAAGTCACCACTGAATATTTTGAATAGACTCCAAAGTTCTTTCTTCAAAGAAGTTATTGCCCTAGGCTCAGTGGTGTGTTCTTTAATAGAGTTGCTATACATTTATCACTTTTCAGCAGTTCCAGATATTCAAATACACACAAGTAGAAATGAAAGATTTTATTCCAAGAAGAGGACACACTTCTTCCTCTAGGCTAGTCCTGGTAAAAGGAAGAATAATTTCAAACATTCCTTAAAAGAGGAGATTGTAACCTTTGCCTAACTCATTCAGTTTATTACCCTTTGAAACAGGAATGACAGAGAATCAAGCTAAAGCTCCAGTGAACTCTTAACTCTTATGTGACACTAAACTTTAGAATATACCTAATTTAAGAAATCTTAATATCTCGACTTATGTGGCACTTTTTCATTCCTATGCTCCTCTTCTGTTTGTTAGGATAAGATCTCAAACTAAGATGCAATGATCTGGAACTACTGTTTCTAAGATACAAGTAGGGTGAAACTGGACCAGAAGTATGCTGGGCTAAAGTTCAAGGAAACTCATGTTTCTAACAAGAGGAAACAGAAATAAAAGAGAAGAGAGATGGGAGTTGTGTGTCAGTTTGCTGAAGAGGGGGGAAAAATAAAACTTAGGTCAAAGACTGAGAGTCATCAAATTGAGAAATGGAGAAAAAGAGATTGTATATAGTGGAAGAGAAGATGGAAAATACCAAGTTGGGGTTAAATCTAGAGTTAAGGTTTAACCTGGGGATAAATATCAATCCAGAGATGCAAAAAAAAAAAAATTCATCCTCCGACTAATATTTTTCCTTTCTCTGTCTCCGTACCCATCCCCAAGTTAAATAATGGCAGAGACAAGCCTGTTAGAGGCCGGGGCCTCTGCAGCCTCCACAGCTGCAGCTCTGGAGAACTTACAAGTTGAGGCAAGCTGCTCTGTGTGCCTGGAGTATCTGAAGGAGCCTGTCATCATTGAATGTGGGCATAACTTCTGCAAAGCTTGCATCACCCGCTGGTGGGAGGACCTAGAGAGGGACTTCCCTTGTCCTGTCTGTCGGAAGACATCCCGTTACCGCAGTCTTCGGCCTAATCGCCAACTAGGCAGTATGGTGGAAATTGCCAAGCAGCTCCAAGCTGTCAAGCGGAAGATCCGGGATGAGAGCCTCTGCCCCCAGCACCACGAGGCCCTCAGCCTCTTCTGCTATGAGGACCAGGAGGCCGTATGTTTGATATGTGCAATTTCCCATACCCACCGGGCCCACACTGTCGTGCCATTGGACGATGCTACACAGGAATATAAGGTGGGCCACCAGACGCCTGATACCAATGTGGGAAAGAAGGGAGGAGCAGCAGAGAATGGCATACTCTTTGGGTAGAGGAACTTAAGTTCCTGAGGACAAGACTATATCTGGTCCTCATTATGTAGTTCCCCTCGTAGCTACATAAATGGGGGTACACAGTACATCTGATCAGTTGTCCTCTGCATGAAGAGTCATGGATGAATATTTGGTATGTGTGTCCTTGGAGTATATCATATTTTTCATAAGTGAGTGAAACCTGTGGCAAAGATCAGATTTGGGAAGAACTGAAAAGTATTCTGGTTTCTTCATTCTGCCTCACTGCTCGGGATACTTCTTGTTTTCCCATCGGTATTGGGAATAGGTAACATTACTTTAGACTGATACAAAGTTGAACTCTAGTCTGTTGTTTGCATCTTCCCCAGATAATGGGTAACATGGCGCCTTGTCAGACTTACTGCTGGGACATAGGGTAAATGTTTGAGTAATAGAAACTAAAGATTTTAGTGTCTTCATCACATACTTAATTATATTAATGAAATCTGGAAGCAAGAGAATTAAGGTAATTTATAATATATTACTATATATGTATATGTATAATAATCAAGTAATAATCAATAATAATTAAGTGGGTAGATTTAGATAGGAGGATAGGTTTAAAGAAGGGTATCAGGGTACAAAAGATGGGGTGGAAAAGGACATCCCAGGAACAAACCTACATTCTCAGCAATCTGGAGATTGCTTGGGGCTGGGGATGTAGTTCAGTGGTAGAGTGTGTGTTTAATATGCACAAGGCCCTACTTTTGATCCCCAGCACCACCAAAAAAAAATATTTGGCAATAATAGGCAGTTAGTTGTCCATAAGAAAATGGATAGGGAAGGATACAGAATTGATGAGAGCTAGATTCAGTGGGAGGAAGTTGAGTAAGCAGGATGAATTAGGGCTAAGCTGTAGCAGGAGGAGGGATCTCCAAGAAGTTGACATCTCAAATTGTTGTCTACAAAGAGAGTTGGATCAAGAGATGGTAAAACGGATAGAAAGCAAACAAATGGTTTAAAACAAATGTGATGGAGCTGGGGATATGACCCAGTTGTAGAGCACTTACCTAGTGTGTGCAAGAACTTGAGTTTGATCCCCAACACATACAAAAAAAAGAAGAAGAAGAAATTTTTTAAAAAATGGTTTATCCTCTTGAGCAGTGGATATACCAACCAAACCCAAATGTTATCTCTCCTACTTCCTCCCTAACCCTCAGGAAAAACTGCAGAAGTGCCTAGAGCCCCTGGAGCAGAAGCTACAGGAGATCACTCGATGCAAGTCCTCTGAGGAGAAGAAGCCTGGAGAACTCAAGGTAAAGACAGGCAATCCCATTCATGTTGTTTTACAAAGTATTTGTAAATGAGGGAATTAACTACACATTGTTTAATCCACTGGTTCCAGTATATTAGAAAAATGCTGTTCTCTCAAAAATGATAATTTATTACACTTTATTGTCACTAAATACTGTACTTAAATTACTTGTCATGAATTAAGAATTGAGGAAAAGAATGTAAGCAATGAAGGATAAAACAAGATATCTAATCTGGTAAGTTGAGGGAGTTCTTGTCTGTTTATCTCCTTTTTTTCATTAAGCGAAAGAGATTGCTAAGAAGGTAGGGATAGGACTTTCTTTGAGGAGAGAAGAATTTGGAAGATTCACAAGGGAGAAGGTTAAAAGGAGCTGACTAACAGCCCCTAAAACTGCCTGGTGACATCTGGACCACATTCTAGTAACTCAAGTAAGGTAGAAAATGCAGGTTTATTCCTAGAATGTCCTTCCCCTCCCCATCCTTCACCTGTAGAAGAATCCTGTCATCCTTCAGTTAGAATAAAAGCTACTTCCTATTAGGACTTTCATGACTCTTCAGAAATTAGTTTTATTAAATTTTATACAATTTTGCATCTTTTTCATAGCATTATCTTATTTGTAGAATGGCATTTTGATGTCTAAGTTATTTCTTCTATTGGATGGTAAATAATAAGTAGTAACAAATGTAACTAATATTAGTTCTGTGCATTAATTGAATGGAAGTCCATGGCTTTCCAAATTTATAAGGTCATACTAAATCTTAGGGTTCTGGGCTGGGGTTATGGCTCAACAGTAAAGTGCTTGCCTAGCACGTGCAAGGCCCTGGGTTCAATCCTCAGCACTACATAAAAGGTATTGTGTCCAACTACAACTAAGAAATAAATACTTTTTAAAAAAAATCTTAGGGTTCTTCCCAAGTTGGAAGTCTAAGAGTTCAGGCCACACTTGAGACATTGGGATATAGAAAAGTTAGATGACAAATAGAAGTATATCCTAAGGCCATTTTCAACATGGGTAATTTTAGATACTCTGTAAAGTAAAGATTATTACCCCCAGTTTACACTAGAGAAAAAGAGGCTTTTTCTAGTCCAACATCATGTATCCATTAAGTGGCAAAACCAGGGACACTAGTTCTTTGTAAATCAGTAAGTATTTATTTAGCTCCTGGTATAGGCCAAGGCCTATATTTGACATTATAAAATAATGATGAACAAAAACACAGTCCCTGTCCTCCTGAGCTTAAAGTCAGGTGGAGAAAATAAATAATGACATAGCACAAAAAGCACAGCTGCAAGTTCATAAGACAATAATATAGGTAAGGCACAGTGGCAAACACCTTATAATCTCAGCTACTAGAGAGGCTAAGGCAGAAGGATCACAAGTTCAAGGCCAGCCTAGGTCTTAAGACCCTGTCTCAAAATAAAAGGGGCTAGAATGTAATTCTGTTGTAGAGCACCCTTGAGCTCAATCAACCTCAGTACCAGAACATGGGTGGGGAGGGGAGGAAGACAGCATAGAAATCTGATCTTGTTAAAGGTTTCCTGAAGAAGTAATAAGTATTTAGAGTGGAAATTCAGGGATCACCAGAAATTAAACATGGGTTTTAAAGTAAAAACACTAATTATTTAATAATGAATGATAATATTTCAACAGAAAGCAATTATTATTTTAGTGCTTCATATATTTTACCAAAGCAAACATTCAGGTTTTTAAAAACTTGAACAAATTTTTATCACAAAAATAAAACTCAAAAGTCACTGATTATTCACCAAGTATTTTCACAACATTCGTGACTTCATACGTGTACTTAGAGTAATGATGTCTAGCTCATTCCACCCTCTTGTCCCCTCCCTTCCCCTCCCTCCCCTTTGCCCTATCTAAAGTTCCTCCATTTCTCTCATGCTCCCTCCCACCAATCACCATTATGAGTCAGCATCCTCATATCAAAGAAAACATTTGGCCTTTTTTAGGGGGGACTGGCTTATTTCACTTAGCATTATATTCTCCAACTTCATCCATTTATCTGCAAATGCCATAATTTTATTCTCTTTTAATGCTGAGTAATGTTTCATTGTGTACATATATAGATATATCAAAGTTTCCTATCCATTCATCTACTGAAGGGCATCTGGGTTGGTTCCACAATTTAGTTATTGTGAATTGTGCCACTATAAACATTAATATGGCTGGGTCCCTGTAGTATATGTTTTTAAGTCCTTTGGTTTAGAACAAGGAATGGGATAGCTGGGTCAAATAGTGGTTCCATTCCAAGTTTTCCAAGAAATCTCCATAGTGCTTTCCAGATTGGCTGCACCAATTTACAGTTCCACCAGCAGTGTATGAGTGTGCCTTTTTCCCCACATCCTCGTCAACACTTAAACTACCACAGAAAATATTCTTTTTGTGACTATTTGAATTCGTGTTCTTCCCTTTCCCTCATCTCCACCACATAAAAATGAAGGAAGGAAGGGAGGGAGGGAGGGAGTGAGTACAACTACAGCTAAAAAAATAAATATTAAAAAAAAAAATAGTTGGTAGAGGTTGAGAGTATAGGAATCCCCAGTACAGCAAAAAACAAGTTTGTAATTAACTATGCTAAAATGAAAAGTATAGATGAACTAATCTATCTACATAATTTTAAAGAGACTATTATATCCTAATGTAATATGATATACCATAGACATATTTATAATAAAATATGATGTATAACATTTGGGTATGACAACTCTGAAAGACACTATAGCATAGTTGTCAGCTTGCACCTACATGCAACATAAATAATACAATAAATACTTGTTCAAACTGAGGCAGATGTGTAGTAATGTGACTCAAATTCCACAAACAGCTCTTGGTGACATGATTTTTCAAAAGAATGACTTTTGCTGAAGCTCTAATAAGATCTAGTCCTAATGAGTTTGTTTAGTTATTCCCAGGAAATTCTGGTATATTTAAACCATGTAAGAATTCCTCTGTGTGTTTACATAAAATGACATTCAAGTCCATACCTACATGTTTAATATCCAGCATAACATAGAAAATGATGAAGGAAGCTGGGTGTGGTGGCACACACCTATAATCCCAGTGATTTGGAAGGCTAAATCAGGAGGATTGCAAGTTCAAGGCCAGCCTCAGCAACTTAGTGAGGCCCTTAGCAATTTAGCAAGACCCTATCTCAGAATAATAAGGGTTGGGGATGTGGCTCGGTGATTAAGTGGCCTTGGGTTCAATCCCCAGTACCAAAAAGAAAAATGATGCAAGACAGTTTACCATGTAGGATTGTCTGTCACACATTGGAGGAATAATAGCCTTAGAGGGACATGACACCCTTGTTAAGAACCACTGTCCTACAAATACAGAGTGAAAAAAGAAAAGGGATGGTGGGTTTTAAAGAAGGGAAATCTGGGACTGGGGCTGAGGCTCAGTGGTAGAGTGTTAGGCTAGCATGTATGAGACACTGGGTTCGATACTCAGCACCACATATAAATAAATAAAATAAAGGCATTCTGTCCATCTAAAGAGCAAGGGGATCTTTTCTTTCTTCCTATTTACCACTGTTAGGAATTTTAAACTTTTGCCTATATAGCACCCCTAAGCATGCTGGCACACAGGCTGTATCTTACTCCATGGCAAACATGAGAATATATTCTATTCTAGTGTGCACTTGAGAATGCAGCAGTAGAGAGTGAAGCGGCAAGTGGCCCTGGAACTAGAACTAGTCAGCCTCCATTGGGAACTAGCTTGCAGTGCAGAAATGCCAGGCTTGTAAGGCCAGCCTAAGCTTTACATTCTCTCCCTCTCTTTGCCGTTAGTCCTGCCATTCAGTCCTTATCCACTGCCTTACTTCCACTTTTCCCTCTTGGGTTGATGCCTCCTCATCAGTCACATGAATCCTCCATTCGGGAGATCATTTCTTATTTCAGGGAGGAACAAGAGAGGATGCACTGAAATCCTTAGTGATAAGGCTGATGTTGGAGTCTTACATTATCAAATCTAAGAGTGTTAGAGGTTTAAATGTATGTGGTGGCATACAGAAGGCATATTCCAAATTTCAAGCAACTGATTTACTAAAAAACATCCATAACCTGTTTCTGGGATGAAAACTACCAATTCTCAGAAATAACTTGAAACTATTTAACAGGTTCAGTTCTAAAATCTGCATATATGCTTTGTAACAACCCACTAATACAGTTTGTGATAGTTTTCCAGTTCTCTGTTTTTTATCAAGTAGATATCTTACCATATACAAATGATGACAGTCTTATCTTAATTTTCTAGTATTTTTACTTTCTCTTTGTTAACAGATTATATAAACTTCAGAGTTGGGAATAGCAGAAATATCTCTAGTATTCATAAATAGTAGATGTTATATTATTGATTTCTTATATCTTCAATATATTTTATTAAAACATGAAAATTAACTTTTGAGAAGTTTATTTACTGACAAACTTAATTTTCTTAGATAATGGGAAGGAGAGTTAGTAATCTCTCAGTAGGCTGGGTTTGGTAATGGCATGCCTGTAATCCCAGTGACTAAGGAGGCTGAGGCAAGAGGATTGGCAAATTCAAGGCCAGCCTAGACAACTAACAAGACTTGTCTAACAATAAAAAGGCTGGGATGTAGCTCAGTAGCAAAGTGCCCTGGGCTCAATCTCAGTTCTGCAAAAATAATTAAATCAGTTTCCCAGTGGTCTCCACTATCAAGTCATCAGTGGGTAATGGCACCATTCTTTATAGATTTCAATAGAGAGAAAATGTGTCCTGTTAACTTATTTCCAATGACACTGGAACTCTGTAAATTCATGTACCAGGTGGGTCATGGAGAAGCTACCCCCAAGCCCACTGATCCTGCTGATACAATATCCTCTTTCCTCAGAGACTAGTGGAGAGTCGTCGACAGCAGATCTTAAAGGAGTTTGAAGAGCTTCATAGGCGGCTGGATGAAGAACAGCAGGTATTGCTTTCAAGACTAGAGGAGGAGGAACAGGACATTCTACAAAGACTTCGAGAAAATGCTGCTCACCTTGGGGACATGCGCCGGGACCTGGCCCATTTGGCTGCCGAGGTGGAGGGCAAGTGCTTACAGTCAGGCTTCGAGATGCTTAAGGTTCGACCTTTGCCCCTGCATTGCCCCTCAGGTGGAACACAGTATAGTTTTGCACAGGCCAGTCTGTCAGTCAAGGGTGCTCACTCCCTTGCTCTACTTCCCCAAGTCCAATTCTTTCTTCCAGACTTACACAGAGGATCTTTTTCTACAGCAAGCTTCTCTGATTTTTCTCATCCCCTTCTAATCATTTTTGTGTTCTTATGTCTCATCAACAATTATGTGCTTAATTTGTTTTTGGGGTTTTTGTTTTTGTTTTTATTTTTTGTTTTGTTTTTATTTTTTTTGTTTTGTTTTGTTTTTGTTTTTGTTTTGATTTTTCTGGTGCTGGGCATTAAACCCAGGGCCTTGTGCGTGAGAGGCAAGCACTCTACCAACTGAGCTATATCCTCAGCCCTTGTGTTTAATTTGTCCCAGAGGAAAAAAAAATCACCCTTGAGAGGAGTCTAGTCTACGTAGTAAAAAACTATGCATTAAAAATTTTGTAAATATAGTTTCCATTACTTTTTTCATCCTAATACTTGATTTACCTAGTGCTAAAAAGAAAGTTAGTTTAAAGGATACTTGAAATTATGTATAAATAATAACATTGCTTTTGATATGTTAATGATGCCTCTAAAATGTTTGAAATAGTTTTGTTCTCTTCAAAAGATGCATAATGTTAGTAAGGCTATAGGGTACATATTTCTTAAGAGACCAGGATACCAGCATTTGAATCAGTGAAGCTTCATTGTATGTTGTTTATCTACATGTTATGTATTGCTTGGTATTGATTGCCGTCCTTTCATGTATGTATGTTCTGCATTAAATTGGGAAATCCTCGTAGGGCAGAAATTTGTCTTCTTTGTCTTCTGGACCCCAAGTATTCTCAAATCAGGGTTGGCACACACTTATTGTTTATTAACCCGTGCCAGATAGGGAATACCAAACCACAATGGGAAAGTGTGATTTGTTCTATGCCACCAATCTGGAACTATCTGTACTGATTCTCGAGGAGACTGAGGTATGTGATTGGTACTTGGGGAACAGAGTAAAGAGAGACACAATATATATACCTTGCAGGGAGCTCCCAGTGTCCTTGAGGAGCAAAGACAAACATACAAGAAACCATTTGGAAGTGATATAAATTACCAAGCTTCCAGATGACCAACAGTTGAAAGTGGAGATTATTTTAAGAGAGATGTATTCAGATCCCTCTGGAACTCTAACCCTTGCATTATAACTATCAGTTTGCACTGTGCCTATTCTATAGATCTAGAACTTTGGGGATGAGGAGGGGGGGGACCTTTTGCCTTCAGGACGCTTGAATACCAGGACCAATCTTGCTTTCTTTTCTCATTTCCTCTAGGATGTCAAAAGTACCCTGGAAAAGTAAGTGATTCTTATATCTTTCTGAGTAAGTTAGGTCTTGGCTTAGAGACTAAAGGTATTATAATGATTTGGGGTAGTAAAGATGGGAGAAATCGTGCAGCATCTGGATAGGACATGGGAGAGGTTCATTGCAGCCATGAAGCCAGGTAGAGAATAAATCATTAAAAGTAATAATTCCTTACTTTTTCCCCTTTAAACATCAGTACTTGGTTGGTAAGGACAATGATAATGTAGAACCATATTCTGCTTGTACCTATGGATGGAATTGTGTCGAAACAAGAGGGCAGGAGAAAGGGGATGGGAAAGCAAGAAGGATGATTATCATTTGCATGATAATCATCTTATACTAAGAATACCCCATGCTGGGCACCATGAGGCATGCCTATTAATCCCAGCTACTTGAAGCAGGAGGATTGTAAATTCAAGGCCAACCTGAGTAACTTTAGTCTCAAAATAAAATACAAAAAGGGCTGGGGATGTTAAATAGTGGTAGAAGTGCATAAGGCCCTGGGTTGGATTCCAAGTACAGAGAGAGAGAGAAAGTAAGTTTAGAGGTTTATTCTCAAGATAAGTATCAGTGTAGGAGAGCACATGGCTCTCCACCGATAACACAAGAAAGCAGTTGTTTTCAGGGAGAAGATAGAAAGTGGGAAGATGGAGAATTTTAGTTTCTCCCTAAAGTCATCTGAATATTCACTTGACTGGTATCCCCTGACCCTGCCCTTTCTCCCCCTATCTTTCTATCCGTCCTAGATGTGAGAAGGTGAAGACCATGGAGGTGACTTCAGTATCCATAGAGCTGGAAAAGAACTTCAGCAATTTCCCCCGACAATACTTTGCCCTAAGGAAAATCCTTAAACAGCTAATTGGTGAGTTGCTCCCAATCTTTTTTTTTTTTTTTTTTTTTTTTAGAGAGAGAATTTTTTTAATATTTACTTTTTAGTTCTCAGTAGACACAACATCTTTGTATGTGGTACTGAGGATCGAACCCAGGCCGCACGCATGCTGCCAGGCGAGCGCGCTACGGCTTGAGCCACATCCCCAGCCCAAGAGAAAAGTCTTTAAATCCTACCTTATATGGGCTTCAATTATTTCGTGCCCACTCCTACCTCCACCCCTTTAGTTGGCTTTCGGTCTCACCCTGAGTCACAGAACTCTGAGTGAAAGGAAGCCATAGATGTCGTCTACTTCTAAATCTACATTTTTCTAAATAGGGACCCAGAAAGGTTAAATAATTTACCCAAGACATCAGATGAAGTGGCCATAGAATTTACCATCTCAGCTGGGGCAATGCTGAGCATGAACAGGAATATCATAATATTTATGCAGGGAAAATAGTCATAAAGCAGAACCATTCCAAGAAAACAGATACATGCTAACCTTGTCCCTAGACCATACTGCTGACTTGCTCTGGATTCTTCTTCCACTTTCCATTCTGGCCCTCATACCACACCTTGCACTTTTCCATATAGTGAGATAAATGAAGAAATCAGATGAGGAAAAGACAAGGACAGGAACCTATCCCCACAGAGACTTTTCTTTCAGAGTCAAGAGATCATTATCTGTTTATTTTAGGATCAGGGTGAAAAGTGAAACCTTTGTTGCCTCCTTTTCCTTTGGTGACATTATGGATTGAGAATGTTAACCAACTCATGGTGTTCTGAGAACCTTTAAGGGACCAGGCTCTGTATATACAGGCAGGCTGAAAAAGTGAGGCAGGGGTGTTTAGCTATTCCCATCCTCATCTAGCTCCCCACTCTGGCTTCTCCCGCCAGCGGATGTGACCCTGGACCCTGAGACTGCTCATCCTAACCTAGTCCTGTCAGAAGATCGTAAAAGCGTCAAGTTTGTGGAGACAAGACTCCGAGATCTCCCTGACACGCCACAGCGTTTCACCTTCTACCCTTGCGTCCTGGCTACTGAAGGTTTCACCTCAGGTCGACACTACTGGGAGGTAGAGGTGGGGGACAAGACCCACTGGGCAGTGGGTGTGTGCCGGGACTCTGTGAGCCGAAAGGGCGAGCTGACTCCACTCCCTGAGACTGGCTACTGGCGTGTGCGGCTGTGGAATGGGGACAAGTATGCAGCTACCACTACACCTTTTACCCCTTTGCACATCAAGGTAAAACCCAAGCGGGTAGGCATATTCCTAGACTATGAGGCTGGCACGCTATCATTTTACAACGTCACAGACCGCTCTCATATCTACACCTTTACTGATACGTTTACTGAGAAACTTTGGCCCCTCTTCTACCCAGGCATCCGGGCTGGTCGGAAGAATGCTGCACCACTTACCATAAGGCCCCCAACAGATTGGGAGTGACAGGTTGAGATGTGGGATTAACTGGGGTGAGGCAGGGTCAAAAGCTATGGGCCTTCCTTCTTGTGTCCTGCTGGAACGTCTTGGTGTCTGCCTGGTTCCAGTCCTGAGTCATCTTGGAGAAACACTCTGGCCTCCGGGATGGTTTGTGTGGAGGAGTAGGTAGGACTGGGCTGCATGATGGAGCACGGGTATGTCTCCCTCCTCACCGTGGGGAGCTGGTTGCCAGGAGAATGTCTCCCTGACATCCATCAGGTTTTCTATTGCACAAGGAAAGGTTGGGAAGGAAGGAGAGACTTCCAGAAACAAAAAGTCTATGGGAGAGTCTAACTTGCTTAAGTAGGAGGAGAAAACAGAAACCCTTAGGGACTTCTTTGACCCAGAATAGACTTGTTTTTTGAGGAAAATCACAGGGGTCGGTGTACCTCTAGATTGAAAAAAGATGAATGACCATTGCTGTCATGGGTCTAGAAGTTGAATTTTTCTGAAGGCAGAGTTTGGACATCAAAGTATATTACAAAGAAGATCAGGTAAGAGGACTAAAGCAACAGATTCCTAGAAACCAATGAAGGAGAGGGAAGTTTCTTCGGTGTTCTATTCCCAGGGTAAGGTTGCCATTGTGAGTAGGATTGGCCAGAGGTAGGAATGTGGAGAAAAGGAAAGGATGGGAATAAAGGAGAACCTTTGTCCCTACCTTGGCCTTCCGCTGGCTATTTGCCTGCCTCCTCACAGTCGGTGGTCTCCAAGAAGTTGCACTGCCTGTTCCTCTTCAGAGGCAAGGGGAAGAGATTGTGCAAGACACAGCTACACTTACACTTTTCCCAAAAGAACTTGGAGAGCAGAGAGTCAGGTATTAGAGAAAAGAGAAAAGTATATCTATCCAAAGCCCTGGCCTTAAAGAATGTTACTGAATAACTATTCCCAAGTCATTAGCCTTGTCACCTGGCTCAGGTGTCCAAGCCAGAAAGGAAGAAAGATAAGGGAGTCTTTCTCACCCTGAAGACAGGGTACATTTAGGAAAGGGCTGGATAGGCAGCTTCCTTTTTGCCTGTGCATTGGCCTGGAACTAGTGTTCACAACAGCCTTTTGCTTGTTTGTTGCCATCCTTCACCCTTTGCCATTCCCCTTTTTGAATGTAAATCATTTTAATGTTAGGCCAAAATAAACAACCTATAGGGTATATATGTTGTCAAAAAAAGGTAAAGAGATGCATGCCAAACCAAACTAAAACATCTTGGATATCTGCTGCTTGGGTAATCTTCACAGAAGACTGACACAAGAAGCTGCATTTTACTGAGGGCATTTCAGTTCCTCTTACCACCTCAACAGGACTCTGTCCACTTTCCTCCTCTTACCTTTGTGCCTTGACTGTGGTTCTTTGTGGCAAGATACTTTGGTTGGTAAAAATAATATGGAACAAAGGATCCACTGAAGTGATCTCTGTGTCGAGTGCTAATTTGGGCATGGCCTTATGTTTATTGTAAAATCACTGGGTGTGAACAATGCATGTTCCTGGGTCTTGCCTGCAGTGTTTGATCAATGTCTGGTTGGACCTGGGGATCTCAACATTTTAAATACATTCCTCATTCAAATCTGAGGACCCTTGCTAAATTTCACCTAGAGGAGGTTTTAGCTAATTTCCTTCTTCTGAGAAGGGAGCAGAATATCACCCTCACCTGACTTATACTGCCCTCTCTATCTTAGTGTTCAATCATGTTTTGTACCTCCAGTTTTAATTCCTCTGCTTTTGACCTCAGAAACTAGTTGTCATTAACTGGGTATTGGTGATAAACACAGGATGCCAGACAACAAATGGGAGGCAGAAAGAGGTCAGAGGAGTGTGAAGTTGATGTCTCTGTGGAGAAAGTATGCTGCAGTCTGGGCAGAGGATACTGTTGGCAGTTTGCTGTACATACAACAAGGAATATAAAACTATTCACTGAGCAAGTAGGGATCACCTGCTACATGTCCAGCACTGTAACAAGTGTTTCATTGGTAAGTGTAAAAGTGGAACCAGGCTGTGCTGAGGGCCAGGAGCCCTCCTTCCTTATCCTGCCACCCTCATGACCCTTTCCACTTTGACCTCAGAGGACACCAATTTTTTGTTGTTTTTAATGTAAGCCTCTATTCCTTCAGTCTGTAGATTTTCCAGGAAACTGCCTTTGACTTAGTAGAGCAGAAGGTATAAGTTGCACATAACCATTTCCCCAATCTGTCTGCATGAGGAAACCAGCTTTATCTCCTGAAAATATTTCCCACTTTTAAGAACCTCTCCTGGGCTAGGGTTGTAGCTCAGTGGTCAAGCACTTGCATAGCCCATGTGAGGCACTGGGTTCTATCATCAGCACCACATAAAAATAAAGGTATTGTGTCCATCTACAACTAAAATAATAAAAAGATCCTCTCCTGCCCATTTGCCGCTCCAGTCTCTACTAAGTAGATCGTTTTAAGGAAGATTGAAAGGAACTCAAAAGTCATAAAGGGATCCTGTGCTGGATTGGCAGAGAACAGGTTCCCAAACCTAAGGCTGCGGGCCTGGGCACTACACCTCCCAGAAGGCCTTGCGCGGGCGCAAGGGGCGGGGCCTGCGAGCGGGTCCGCTTGTTGCTGGGGCGCCCGGATGGCGGGACCAGTGAAGGACCGCGAGGCCTTCCAGAGACTCAGCTTCTTGTACCAGGTGAGTGAGCAAGTGCCGCGTGGGGAAGGGATTCTGGTGCGCCGGGCCCTGGAGTGACCGCTGCCTTCCCCCAGGCCGCCCACTGTGTCCTTGCGCAGGACCCCGAGAACCAGGCGCTGGCGAGGTTTTACTGCCACACGGAAAAGACCATTGCGAAGCGACTAGTCCTGCGACAGTGAGACGGCGCGGGTCTGGGCGGTGGGCGGGACCGAGAAGGAAAGGTGAGGGAGCGCGGGCATTCAGACGACCTTCCCCCTCCGCCCCCAGGGACCCCTCGGTGAAAAGGACCCTATGTCGCGGCTGCTCCTCCCTCCTCATCCCTGGCCTCACCAGCACCCAGCGCCAGAGACGTGAGTGCTCCTGGCAAAATGGGGTGGTTGCGGAGCACGGGAAGAGGGGAGGGCGGGGCCAAACCGCTCCATCCTCACCTGAGATGGGTAGGGCTTTGGATATGCTGGAGCCAGCTTTCTCTAGGTCTGAGTTAAAGGTTTTTTTCTTTGTTTGCTTTTTGTACCGAGGATTGACCTCGGGGACACTCGGTCACTGAGTCACATCCCCAGCCCTATTTTTGTATTTTACTTAGAGACAAGGTCTCACTGAGTTGCTTAGCGCCTCTCTAAATTGCTGAGGCTGGCTTTGAACTCGCTATCCTGCAGCCTCTGCCTCCGCCTCCGGAGCCGCTGGGATTACAGCTGTGCACCACTGCGCCCCGTATAAATTAAATTTCTAATATCCCTGGGACAAACTAAAGTCTGGGCTTGGCTTTTATTCCTATTTGGGTAGAAGAAAAATTATGCCTTAAGAGGCAATCTCACCGAGGCACAATAACAGATACTGTGTGGTAGCACCTTTCATTCGTTCACTCAAGAAATATTTCTTTTCTGCCAGTCGCAGTGGTGCAGGCCTGTAATCCCCGCTGCTGGGGGAGGCTGAGGCAGGAGGATCGCAAATTCAAAGTCATCTCAGCAACTTAGAAGCCCTAAGCAACTCAGTGATACCTTGTCTCTAAATAAAATACAAAAAGAGCTGGAGATGTGACTCAGTGGTTGAGTGCTCCTGAATTCAACCCCTGGTACCTCTCCCCCCCCCCAAAAAAAAAGACCTTATTTGCTAAAATATGTCAAGTACTGTATTCAAATTACACCCTGGAGAGATAGACTAAAATAGAAACAAAAGAATGTAGGGGAGAAAAATGCTTTAATTGAGAGGAGGGTAAAGTAGAATGCTGAATTATTTATGCCAGTGGTGATGAGGTACATGGTAAATAAAGGGAGCTAGAGAGAGAAATTCTAAGCATGGATGAGAATTTCCAGACTTGAGAATTTGTGGTACTGTCAAGGAAATCAGAGTTGGGGAGGCTGGAATTTGAGTTCGCAGGAACAAGAGTTAAGGGAAACAATCCATATCTTTATCCTGTTAAGGAATTTAGTTTTTGTCTTAAAATTCCAAGAAATTGATGGAATTGGTGCTGAGGCCTGATGCCATGAAATTTACATTCAAAGTGGGAGTAGGGAATAGGATTCCTACTGGAAAAACTTGGAGGCAAAAGGAGGAACCTGGGCACTTTTCCTTTTTCCCACCTTTACCCCAGGCCGCAGGGGACAACGCTGGACAATACAGACCTGCCTGACATGCCAGCGCAGCCAGAGGTTCCTCAATGACCCCAAGCATCTGCTCTGGGGAGACCGGCCTGAGGCTCAGTTGGGGACCCAGGCAGGTAAGAGGTGGTAGACAAAAATAGGGTCTATGGGGCTAGGGATATAGCTTAGTTGGTAGAGTACTTGCCTCGCAAGCACAAGGCCCTGAATTCAATCGCCAGCACTACCAAAAAAAAAAAAATGGAGGATATAGAGGACACATAGGTGGTACTGGTTGATGTAAGGGGTGCCAGTCTTAGAAAACTAATTCTGCTTCTCTAATTCTGCTGATCTCTCCAGATTCTAGACCACCGCAGCCCTTGCCAAACACAGCTCATCCCATTCCAACCCACTTTCCTAAAGAGCAAGCGCAACCTCAGGTTCCAGTAACCAGCGACGGATTCATCCCATCTTCCAGATAAATAAAGTTTAATTCTTTTTCACTTTGAATGATTCTGTTCTGTGGGTATTTTAATTCCCAGTTCCATTTTC